CTGGTACCTCTACTACTCAATCTAGAGTGTGACGGAGACTAAGTAACTCCTATGTTAACTTATAGTCACTCCCTCAAACTTAGTATGGAGCCTAAAAGGTATGAGTCGTCCGCCTGTTTTTAGCAAACAGGGGCTCTCAACCACTACTCCTGCTAGGTTAACAAATTATGAGTTAAAGCCAACAAACATTGGCGAATAAAGGGAAACAACCGGTACCCGCCGCTTGTTATCTCTACTACTCAGTTCCTTGGCGACTAGGTAATACTCATGTTTACTTGGTCAGACCACTTTCCTACTTGGTTAAATTTACAAATGACAGGACCGCCTGCCTAAAAAGGATCTTGTCTTTAAAATAGTTCGAATACCGATTGGATAAATGGCCGACTGATCGTCTATCCTGGAAACAGGCAACCAGTCGTCCAGGGGCATAGGCGGCGTGACTAACTATCCGTACCTGTCTGCAACTATCGGCCATGCAAAATAGTCGGTCTAGTGAACAATTGGATATTAGAATATGGAATACTTAGACAAATTTGAGGCAAAACAAAGATTCATTAAAAATAAGTCGGTCATTAAAGACCAGCAAAATATTCAAAGCCCCGGCCCCCTGGCCGGGTAAATACAAAACAAACGGCACGCAGGCCGTGGAATGAATACATAAAGCTTAAGAAGGGGGCAGATCTTCAATATTAGCAGCTGCCGCCTGGTCAGCACTCTTCTTGCTGGACTCGGCCTCAGCTGCATCCTTTTTTGATGCCTTACCCCCAAGCGGCACAAGCGCCACTACCGGTTCCTCCTCCTCCAACGCTTCTTCCAACGCCTCTTCCTCAGCAGCCGCCAGGATCTCTTGATTATAAGTATCAGAACACTGGCGGTACGTTCTTTCCCAAGAGGCAAAGTCGGCACTGGGGAAGAGGCGGCCCCAAGTCATGTGCTGGATTTGAGCGGAGTCTTCCATCATCTCCCGGACCAGCTCTTTCTTCTCTTGCTCGGCCTTTTCCGAGAGCTCCTGAGTAAGACTCTTCTCCTGGGTCACCAGGCGTTCCTTTACGTTGGCCAAGGATTTCTCCAAGGCTTCGTAAGAGTACATTTTCAGGCGAAGAGGTTTCAGCTCGGCCTTGAGATTTGTGATGGTCGCCTCCAGCTTGTCATTCTTCTTCTGGGTCGCCTCTAACTGAGCCCGAACAGCGGCGGTAGCCTGCGCCTGATAATAAAGAATATCAATGGTCAGAACTTCATTTTGGGCAATTTGAAACATTGCCTTATCACAGTCAGAGGCGGCCATAGCTTTTGCAGCCTTTACCTCTTTGTTCTTCCGATTAAGCGGCTTGCGAAGGTCGTTCACTCGGAGCAGGGCCTAAGTACAAAGAAACAGGCGTCAGTTTCCAAACAAAAAATAAAACAGGCGTCCAGAAATTTAAATACTCAAAAATATGCTAAGTATACCTCAGCAAGGACCCCTGCAATCCCGTCAAGGTCAAGGGTGCCGACACCCCTGACCGCCTCCCTTTCAGCTGGAGGAACTGCCCTGATCATAGACTTGGCCATCTCTACCAAGTCAGGCTCCTGAGGGCCGGCTGCATCAAGCATAAACAAACGGATTAGACCTAGTAAAAGAGGGAGCAAGTCTAAAATTTACAAGGATAACTTCTTACTTCTAGGCGGCCCAGTTGGAGTTTTAGAAGAAGTGGCCGGCTGTTTCTCAGCCGCCACATGTTTCCTGGCAGAACCAGGAGAGCTCCCAACAGTCGTCTTCCGGGCCTTGGGGTCCGGCTGTTGGGAAGATGAAGCTCTTGGAGCACCCGTCTAAAAAAGAAGAAAAAAAAGTCAGTATAAGCATAAACATAACCCCAAAAAGAGGGTGAAAGGTTCGGAGCTCACCAAGGGTGCCCCCTTCTTAGGGGAGTCGGTTGAAGTTTGTTGCATGATGGAGGCCCGCAACATGGCCGCCGCAGTCTTGGAGGCGGTGATTTTGCTCATGGCGTCAGCTGCAAAAACAAACAGCAAAGTTAATAAAAGATAACAACAAATGTATGGAACAACAGAGTATTCGACAGGCCGACTACCTCTTGAGCACCGACTGCTGAGGCCACAGGCGGCCAAAAAGTACTCTTCGTAGAGCCATTTGAAGCTCGGGACGCAGTGCAGGGGTACTTGCTCTCGTACCCCTGAAGTAGAGTCGACCCTTGACTCTACTTTAAAGTCCTTTATCAAGGATCTCTTTCCTAGCCTCGGGGGGAACAGGCGGCATGCTACGGCCGCCTGCAAGAAGGGGCGGATTCCTGTTCCACCTATTGAAGCGCTTGTTCAGCTCAATGTCTGAACTCTCAATGATGAGGAAGGTGCTCCGCCAGTCCTTCCACTTGTTTGCTTTACCTCTCGTCATGAGGTAGCCCCTGTGGCTTGTCAATTGATACCAGCCGGTACCGCCTGTCTTAGGGGTCCGGCTGAGATAGTTCATATGGGCGAAAGCCTCGAAGCTCGGCTCCACCCCGTGCAGTTCGCACCCGGCCACATAGCCGAGTACGTTTACCCAGGAGTTTGGGGCTAACTGCCATAACCCACACTCATACCCATCCAAAATCCGCTGAACAGCAGGATGTAATGGGAAGCGAAGCCTTGCCTTGATGGCCGCCTCGTAGCAGCCAAAGCAGGCGCTATCATAACTGGAACCAGCCGGCCAGACGACTGTGTCTTCTGGATCCGGCACAAACACTAGAAAGTCGGGGCCCATGGTGTGGTTTGCAATAAAGCTCTCCACTTTCTCTTGCATGGCTGTGATCCGGCCCCGAGGTACCGTGCAGTAATAGGGGGTATTTAGCTCTCGGTAAGAGGCGGATAGCTCCGCCCAATTGTCCCCCTTCTCAACTGCGTGAGAAAGTCTCGCCGCTTGCAGGCGGCTGTTTTTCTCTTCTGTACCCAAAGAAGCATGGCCAGAAGAGCTTGACTCGGAATCGTCCTCTGACGAGTCCGAAGAGGACGACTCCTCCCCTCTCCCGGAGGGGCCCGCCTCCTCTCTTTGAAAAGGAGCAGAATTGTTAACTGTTAAATGGGAAGGGGTCACTATGACTCCCCCCACAGAATTGCCGGCATTCAGGCCGCCTTGTTTCACTTCCACATCTGGCGCCTAGTCAGATGTTTCACTAAGCGGCACCCTGTGGGAGGAGCCGTCTGAATTTGAGATCCTAGCAGTCTTTTTCGTTCTGGCCATCCTGCTCTGCATAGACACAGATACAGTCGGACTTTGTATAAAGGGCAAAGAGGGGTCCGGAAAAGGGCAGGCGGCACTCCTAGTCCTAGATTCAGCCGTCCCCGGTGACCGGTTGATCACTAACCTAGGTCGTGTCGTGTGCTTCCGTGGTGCCATTTCAAAAAATAAAAAGAAAATTAAGAGTAAGTGAACTGACAGTTACCTGAACGAGTGACGGATGATGAAGTTCTGAAAATCCTGTGCAGTCGGCTTGTCAGAACAGGCGGTAGGCAGAAAAGGTCCGAAATGTCAGAGCAAGTTCAGGGGTCCGAATGTTCTCAAAAAGTTCTCAAAGTGTGAAAATGACTCAAGACAATCCTCCCTTATATAGGCGAAGTGAGAAGGCGAAGGGTCACTTTCAGAATTCAAAATTTGGGCGGGAAAATCTCTCGTCCTATCGCCGACTGACACCTGTAAAAGGTCGCCGCCTGTTACAGTGCGACACCTGTCACAGGTAACACGTGACCAATCACGTGCCACCTGTGAGGGGCAAATGATTAGGGGATTTTGCTCCTCCAATCGGAATGCGCCACGTGGACCAATCAGGTCCTGCCAAGTGTCCCCCAGTTGGAACTGTCAGGGCTTGCCATGTGGCACGCGCTTATTCGTCCACCTTGGACCTGTTATGTCATGACATGTGGCATACTCCATGCCTAATGGAGAACCCGGCCACCCAGGCCCAATTTTCGAGGGAAGCCCAATCGGCCCTAGGTTAACCTAAACCTAGGATGGGCACGTTTTCCAAGGTTATAAATACCTCCCTTAATCCTCATTAAGGGAGAACAGAACGAAAAAAAACATTAATTACACACAGTAATAACCGGCTGATCTCGCTAACAAAGCAGATTACCTACATTAAACACTCTCACCTAGAGAGACCCAATCACTTTAATTTCCGCATTAATTACTCCTTAATCAAGTACTAACTTGACCGTTGGAGGCGGAGCTCCCAGGAGTCTCCGTTATTTTGCAGGTACAGGCGTCCGGTTCCAGTCTCGGAATTGTAACTCTCCCGCAGGACATCAGAAAACCCCGAAACAGGTATGGCTCGACCCTCAACCTGTATTTAGGGCTCAACTGAGTCTTGTTTTAGTTTGTCGTGGTCTAGTACATCAAGCCTGCCCCAAACTCAATTAAAGCAAGACTCAATCCTTGCATTTTGTTCTTAATATTTTCTCTTTTTTTTTTTTGAGTAAATAATAGTTTCTCGTTTAAAAAATGTTTTATTATTGTTTTTAATTATATACTCCGTACTTTGTATGTCTTTTCTTTGGTCACCCGCGTACCCACTTTCATCCATTTATTTCTTTTTGTTTATTCATAGTATATGTTTCATGGTTATTTCATTTGTTTTGTTAAGATTTGTTTTGCATTTATAATTTTTAGTAAATGTATTTTTATAACTGATAAAATATTACTCCGTAGCATACATGGAATATAGATAGAACGTGTCATGAAAACATTAATGCATTTTCCTCTTTCTGTGAAACTCATGAATCAACCTTAGTCCAGCCCATGGATCGGCCCCTCGAGGACTATTGTCCTTATATTTCAAAATTTGAGCTCGGTCTATCTCAGCCCATTGGTGGTGGGTCAGGCCGAGACAACCCTGCCTGCAGGCTTGCCCATAATCTAGCCCACCCTCGTCCAAAGCCATCTTTAAATTTAAGTTCAATTTAATACAAAGTACAAAATAAGTTGAACTAATACCAGGATTAACATAATAAAATCATAACTTGAGTTAGGCCACTTATCAAAATTAACTGAATTTTAAACCTCGTTAAGTCATTTTAGTAACCCCAAAGGCATATTATCATGATATCATCAATACGTACTACAATTCTTTTGGTTTTTCTAGCAATTACTACAATCAATGACTTAATCTCAATTCTCAATGAAAGACCTAGATTTAAATTATGCTTTTGTGTTCTTCAAACAATTTCACAGTAGCACTCACCCCACTCACCCCACTCACTCCTCCAGAAATCTCCCACTCTTTTAAAGTTTTACCTCACGTAGCAACCCATTTTGACACGTGTCCTCCATGTGTCGTCCTTCTAGAACACTCTCTTCACTATACACTCCTTTAAACCACTAAAACTTCCCCTTCAATCTTCTTCATTTTCACAACATAATCAAACAAAAAAAAAACTTACAAAATTCCATCTGACAAAAAAGAAATAAAGTTAGGCAAGAAAAAATGGCTCCAAGAAAAGGAAGGAAAGTAGTTAAGACTACAACCAAAGTTGTACAAGAAACAATTGAAGTCATTTCTCATGTTAGATCACAAGAAGCCCAGACCCAAGCCCATGCCCAAGCCCAATTCCAATCTCCCCAACTCGAAGTTACCGAGCAAAGGGAGGAGGAAACCTCCGTAACAACCAAGTCCATCCCCATCGAAGATGACGACGAAGACGAGACCCAAGAAGAGGAGGCCCAGCCCAATAAGCAAGTGAAAAAGGAAAGCCCAACAACACCAAACAAAACCCAAGAGGTAAAGAAGAAGGCGGCAACGACAACGACAACGGGCCGAAAGCGGGGTAAGAAGAGGAAGGGGGAAGGAAGAGGAGAAGGGTACAAAAGGTATGTGTATAGGGTGTTAAAACAAGTGCACCCAGGGATGGCAATAACGTCAGGGGCAATGACGGTAATTAATAATTTTATGAGTGACATGTTTGAAAGACTTGCTGGAGAAGCTTCTAGACTCAATAAGTATAGTAAGAAGCAGACGATGTCGGCGAGAGAGATACAAGGTGCTGTTAAGTTGGTGTTGCCTGGTGAGCTTGGTAAGCATGCTATTGCTGAAGGGAGTAAGGCTGTTACTAATTATATAACCTATGATTCTAAGAAATTCAAGGAGTTTATTAAATCGTAATATAGGCATTTTGGGACCAAAATGTATAACCTATTTTTTTTTTTTTTTTTTTTTTTTATTTTTTGGGTAGGGTTGACGTTTTATTTTGTTGTAGGGAATGTTCTGGGATTAATTAATTGCCTGACTTGTTTATCTTGTAGGAAGGCCCCACATTTTGTTGTTGATGTACGTAGGGGGTTCGGTAGGTTTTTCTTTGGTTGTGATCTTTGAAAATTGAAATTGCGTTGTATGTACTATGTAGTGTTTAAATTATGTCATTGTGTAGATTCTTTTAGTACTTCGTATTTCTTTTAGTTATGTTGCTTAATTTTCGGTTATGGTTAGGTTATACTTAGGCTTATGGTTAAGTAATTAATTAACAGGCCATCCAACTTGCTCGATTCAATCGATTTTCCACATATCCCTTGGAATTGCATCCTCATGTAACGAGCTTTAATTGTTTATGCGCATTTTGTCAGGGAGCCATATGAGAAAGTGATGAAAATTATTAATCCGAATTAAATTAAAAATTTTAACCGGAAAAGTAGCTCTAACCAATCGAGCTACCTATTATCATGATTTAATCTGAATTTTTTTTTTTTGAAAGGTAAAATACATGGTTTCATAATCCCCTATCCCAGAAAAGGATCATTAGAATCTAAATATCCACCTATTACAAAATCGGACTAATAGATAAGGATAAAATAGCTGATTTTTTTTTTTTAATCATTTTCATGATCAAATTCATGTCATGTTAGTTTTTACCACATTTGATTGTACTCTCTTAATAATCTGCTTTTTTTTTTTTTTTTTAACATTTTCATGATCAATTCATGTCATGTTAGTTTTTACCACATTTGATCACTAAATAATTGATATACATGATTTATTTCGTTTTACTGTTTTAGTATTCAAGTTTCACTAACTTTTAGTATTTCCAAGACACAAAAAAAAAACTTTTTGCCCTCCTCAATTTGGACCCAGATAAACTTCCGAATATTGATATTACAGTGGATAAGTTCATCACTGATAATAATAATTGGGACGTCCCTCTTCTTCTTACGGTTCTTCCTAATAACATAGTTCAAACTATTAGAGGAATCCCCTCCCCCTCCCCTCCTCCCCTATTCTAGATAAACCATGTTAGGGTCTTTTTAAAGATGGTCAGTTCATGATTACTTGGCTAGCTCATTCTTATGTTCATCCTTCTTCCAAGTGGGAGTTTCGATGGATTTGGAAATTGGACATTCTACCTAAGATTCAAATTTTTCTTGGCAAATTCTCCGTAACAGCTTCCCTACTCGTCATACTTTATCTTCACCTAATATTGTTGTACCTAGTTTTTGTGTTCTTTGTTCTAATCATTCTAAATCCCAGGATCATCTTTTCCTCTCTTGTCCATTTTCTTTGAGTTTTTGGTCTTCTTCTTCTGTCCTTCAGTGGCTTGGTCACATCCCTCCTATTAATCAGATCCATAATTTATTTCGCACACTTAAGACCAATTTGCCTAGGCTCCTTCCTAAGGTTGCTATTTTATTTTGGAATATTTGGAAACATCATAACGCAGTTATTTTTAAGGACTCTTCCGCCAATATTCATAGTATATTCATCCGAGCTTTCACTATGTTTAAGGAATGGGAGTCTCGATCTCTTCTTGACGTCATACACTTGCCTAATGCGCCACCTCCACCGCCTCATCCTCCTACCCCGCCCTTTTTGTCTCGTGGTCTCCTTCCCCACTCGGTTTTGTAAACTTAATTTTGATGGTTCTGCCAATCAAATTCTGCTACTTCACACTGTTAGAAAAAGGCCATTTTCCGATGGACCTAAAATTCCGTCGGAAAATTCGAAATTTCCGATGAATTTTAATCCGTCAGAATATTTCGATGGAATTTAGCCAAACCTACGGAATATCCCTCGCAATAATTCCGACGGAATTAAATGTTGTTGGAAATTAGAGCTTCCGACGGAATATTCCGTCGGAAGGTCTGATTTCCGATTTAATTCCGTCGGAAAGTATTTAATTAAAAATTAAAAAACGAGTTCAGATCTCCTCTTTTGCGAACCAGAAAGAATAAGGGGAAGAGAGAGAACGACCGAAAGAAAGGGAAAGAGATAAAGAAAGGGAAGAGAAAGGAAAGTTTGAGGACGTTGATTCCCCGCAACCACCGGCGTCTCACCGCCGCCGTTGTGTGAAAGGGGAAGAACGAGAAAGAATAGGAGAAAGAGAGAGAGTGATGGAAGAACGAGAAAGAGAAAGGGAAAGAGAAAAGGGGGTGTCGTTTCCCCGCAACCACCGGCGTCTCACCGCCGCCGCCTTGTGACCCTTGGGCCGCCGGTTGGTAAGTTTAATAATAGGTGTATTTGTTTTTTTTCGTTAAACCCTAACCACCATCACCATTGTGCAGCCGTCGTCCTCCATCTGCATCCTCCCGCCGCTGCGACCAGACCAGCCACCCACCTCCATCCTCCCGCTGTTGTGCAGCCGGTAAGACTCACCCTTTATTTTTTTTTAAATAATTAAAACTAACCAGAACCGCCACCACCTCCATTTACAGTGAAAACTAATGCCTTTTCTACGGCGTTTTCCGGGCAGCCACCATCGAATCCTCCTCTACCCTTGGTGAGTTCTTTCTCCCATGTTTTCTAATTCAATTTAAGTTGTTTACTTAATTTCAAACCCTAATTAAGTTTCTCATTGTAATTACTTGTAGGATTTGTAGATTTAATTGGTTTAATTGTCAATAAAAAGTGCAGATCTAGAGGTTAGTGACATTATTAACCCTAAAATTCTTAGTTTAGTTTATACATGGCATGTTAGTGACTAATTGTATATAGATATATGTAAGTTTATCATTATTTTTAGTGTAGTGCGTGTATACATGTTTGTTGTATTTTATGTTTAAATATGTTGAAATATTTGAAAGGAACGTGTTGTATTATAATATGTTAGTTTAGTTTGGTTTAGTTTAATATAATAATGTATGTTAGTTTAGTTTAATATAATGTATGTTAGTTTATTTATTTTAATATAATATTTAATAATTATTTAATATATTTGTTTAGTTTAGTTTAATTATGATATATTTGTTTAGTGTAGCTTAATTATGATATATTTGTTTAGTATAATGCATGTGTCCTTACTTTATATATTTTGTCAGTGAATCATTTGCATAATCATATGCCTAGATACCCGTTCAAGGCATACACATTAGGAGTATGTCTTGAATAGTCCCCGGTTGGGACTGTCCTTGTACGCTTATTCTCTCTTAGGTGGTGAATGTATGCCTTGTTATTGATTCTAGGGAATATCCTGGCTTCTCATTTCTCTACAATGTTCTCTGGGTACATATGTAGGTGTATCTAATCGCCTACATCGTGTACTTGGAGAACTGTATGGAAATGCTGCCAGATTTTCCATAGAATTGAAAACCTGACTTACATTAACTAGTGGGATTAAACGTACAAGGATGGGTTAGGTTTGAGTGTTAAGGACCCTTGGACATCATTTCAAGACTCATTTGCACTTCCATAACACTTTTATGGATAATGAATATTAAATACGCTTTGTGACTAATGTGATTATACATATGCGTGAGTTGTGTAGAAGTTGTAATCATGAAACGAACATAACGTAGCTAGATGTATAAAAGGAAGGTTGGGCTTTCTATTAATCCAGAGTTCGTGAAAGGGGTTGATGAATTCATTCAGTACGTCAAAGATCATCCCGAGAGTGGTAACCCGAATGAAGTTAGGTGTCCATGTTTTAAAAGTAAGAACAAACGGCTTTGGGATGCGGAAACGGTTAAAATTCATTTGTATCGCAAGGGTTTTGTACCTAATTACTATGAGTGGACGTGTCATAGGGAAGGGTTTCCAGGAGTTCTTGAACGGTGGTCCGATGAATATCGTGAAATGGTTTTCGATGCTTTTGGTCATACTCAAGATCAAGGGCATTCCGAACAGTCTAGTGTTTCATCAGAGGAGGAGCCTAATGCACAAGCCAGGCATTCTCTGGATTGTTGAAGGCTTCTGAACAACCATTATACGAAGGGAGTTCATTGTCTGTGTTAGAGATGGTTGCTAGAATTACTAGTCTAAAGTGCAAGTATAATTTGCCCTACAGATGTGTTGATGGGTTTGCTTCTTTAGTCAATGAAGCGATTCCTAACAACACTATGGCTAACACATTCTATAAGGTGAAGAAGATTGTGAAGGGGTTGGAGCTGCCTCATGGAAAGCTTCATGCATGCCCGAAAGGATGTTTGTTGTTTTGGAAGGATGATGCTAAGCTATCTACATGTAGGGTGAGTGGCAGCAACCGATACAAGAAGACTTCTAAAGGTAGCTTAGTGCCTTTGAATGTTTTATTTTATTTCCCAATCACACCCAAGTTGCAAAGGCTCTTTGTAACCAAGAACATTTCGGAGGAAATGACATGGCATTCGAAAACCCTCGAGTACAAGGCACAATGGCACACCCTAGTGATAGTGAAGCTCAGAAACACCTCGATAGTTGCTTTCCAAAGTTTGCCTCCGAGCCTCGTAATGTTCGACTTGGCTTGTGTACCGATGGTTTTGCTCCTCATGGTAAGTTTGGGGGACAATATTCTTGTTGGCCTGTCATTTTTACCCCTTATTACTTGCCTCCATCAATGTGTATGAAAAGACAATTCATGTTCCTTTCGTTGCTCGTTCCTGGTCCTAAAAACCCTAAGGGCAACTTGGATGTGTACATGCAACCGTTGATAGAAGAGTTGAAACAATTATGGGAAGTTGGCGCAAATACTTACGATATTTTGAGGAAACAGAACTTTAGTCTTCGAGCAGCCATCCTATGGACCGTTAGTGACTTCCCGGCTTATGGTATGTTGTCTGGTTGGACCAGATCTGGTAAGAAGGCTTGTCCATATTTCATGGAGAAAAACAAATCATTTTGGCTCAAACATGGTGGTAAAGTTTATGGTTTGATTGCCACTGCCAATTCCTTTCGACGGATCACCCTTTTCAGAATAGTAGAACTGCATTTTGTAAAAACAAATTCGAAAAAGGTGCACCTCCACACATCATGTCAGGAGAGGAACTTTGGGAATGTGTGAAAGACCTTCCGAAGGCTACAGATGGGCTCGAGGCACTTAAATGCCTCAAAAAAGCTAAAAAGGGGTGGTTCAAGAAAAACACATTGTGGGAGCTTCCATATTGGAAGCATCTGCTCATTTGTCACAACTTAGATGTCATGCACATTGAAAAGAACTTCTTTGATCAGTTAATTCACACTATAATGGATGTGAAAAAGTATACATGTGACACGCCATCAGCTCGAAATGACATTGTCAAATATTGTTAACGGTCGCAGCTTCATCTTTAAGAGGATGATAGAGGAAAAGAGTTCATGCCAAAGGCTCCATTCGCTCTTGAAAAGGTTCAGAGAAAAGTTTTGTGTGAGTGAACAGCTGCGATTTCCTGATGGTTACGCCTCCAATTTGAGTAGATGCGTAGATTTGCAAGCATGTAAGCTACACGGAATGAAAAGTCATGACTGTCACGTGTTCATGGAGAGGTTGTTTCCCACTGCTTTGAGAGAAATTCTCCCTGGCCATATTTGGAATGCAATTACAAAGATCAGCCAATTCTTCCACGATTTGTATCGCTACACAATCACAATTAGTGACATGGAGCGATTAGAGAAAAACATAGCTGAGATCCTTTGCAAGCTTGAGAAGGTATTCCCTCCTGCATTCTTTAACTTCATGGAGCATTTACCTATTCATTTGCCATATGAGGGCAAGGTATGTGGTCCTGTTCAA